AATTCAATGACTATGTTATTGAAGGTAAATATAAATATGGGGTTGAAAACTCTATTAACTATTCTTGTCTTGATAATGAAACTAAATATTTTGTATCTAACCTGAATACATGTGGGTCAGGGGTAAAATGGTCATTTTACCCTAAGGTTAGATTGTGGGCCTTAGAATGGAACCCAATTTCTAATTGGGTGTTATTTTGGTACTGATAGCTAGGGGAGTCGTCAGGGTAGCAACCGGGGATTTCTTTCAGTGAGCTTTTGTATTCGAGGTGAGTCTTCTCACTATTCTATGGGTCGAAGGCACCAATGCCGACCCATTTGGTTTACATATTATAGGAAGATCTGGGGGTAACCCTTGGCATTATGTATGAAAGACCAGGAGGCGGCTCCTGGCAAACTGTATGCAAGGCCATAGTCTGAACTCTGGCAATTATTAGTTAAGTAGTTGTAGTTTGTATGCTAGTTGTCTTTGTGATGCTTGCATGGAAGACTATGAGGTGGCTCCTGGCACTTGTCTGTAAGACACAGGGTTTTGGCCCCCGGCCTGGCAAGGAAGACCACGAGGCGGCTCGTGGCATAATGGCAAGACTATGGTTGGCACATAGCACTTTATTGATTGATTGGATATGTATGATATGTATGGCTCATTTAATATGTTTGGTATGTGGTATTTGGGGAACTAACTAAGCTTTGTGCTTACAGTTTGTGGTTTATGGTTTCAGGTACTTCCGGCTCGAAAGGGAAGGGTCCGGCTTGATCGCATCGCATACACCCGTATTTTCCGCAATATGTGATTTTGGGAATGAACTCTGATAATTGTTTATTTTGAAATGCTTACTAGTGTTTGGATAAAGTTACAGTAATGTTTTGATTATAATAAAAATAAAATTTTTACCCTTGTTTTTCGGGATGTTACAAACAAGGTGGTTACAGGCATCAATTGATGTGTCTGATATCCTGCTTTTTAGAGAGAGAGAGAGAGAGAGAGAGATAGAGAGATTATCATTATTTTCTAACTTATGTTAGACATAAGGAACATGTATGTAGGGGTGTAAACGAGCCGAGCCGAGCCCGAGCCTGATCAAGCTCGAGCTCGGCTCGTTTAATTTTGAATAAGCTCGAGCTCGATTCAAGCCTTAAAATGAAGCTCGGGCTCGGCTCGTGAACAATTTGGTGAGCTCGCGAGCCTAAACGAGCTTAAACGAGCCTATAATATATATATATATAATATATATATATATATATATATATATATATATATCTGTGTGTTGTGTGTGCGCGTGTGTGTCTATATATATATATATATAGATATATATATATATATATATATATATATATATATATAATATATTATATATATATATATATATATATATATAGGCTAGCTTAAGCTCGTTTAGGCTCGCGAGCCCACTAATTGAAGCTCGGCTCGAGCTCGTTTAATAAATGAGCCTCATATTTAGGCTCGAGCTTGGCTCGGGCTCGTTTAATTCGATCTCGAGTCGAGCTTTTAACGAGTCGATCCCGAGTAGCTCACGAGTAGCTCGGCTCACTTACACCCCTACATGTATGTATGGGTTTTAGAAATTCGTTTATCGTGTCTATTCATGTAAACAAAAATTCTAAATTCATGTTTCGTGTCTTATATGTGCCAAATATAAATTTACATATTTAAACACGTATAAGACATAAATTAAATTTGTGTGATGCATGACATGTATAGACATGTGATACACGACATGTACATGCATGTATACACATGAATTAAATGCTTGTTTTCCTACCTTAAACAATGGTATTAGACATTGCTTGTTTAAATTCGTGTAAATCTATGTTTCGAATAACATGGTTAAAAACGTGTATATGAGTGTAGTGTCACGTGTCACGTGTCACAAATTAATTACATATCATGTTCGTGTTTGATACTCAAAACACGTTTTACAATTCGTGTTCATGTTTCACAAATTCGTATCATGTAAGTTTGTTTGACATGTATACTCAACATGCAAACATGAATTGTAGGTCTATAATTTTGTAGTGGTATTTTTTGACAACCACAGAGAAGATACCCATTTTAATATTTTCAGAAAGTAAATTGCCTCGTAAAATTATTCAAACTATACCAATAATTAATGCGTATCAGTAATATTAGTTTTTATAAACTTCTAAAGTCGTGCCTGTAACTTTACTTAAAACAATTAGACATTAAACTTTTTTTACGAAACTTTAATAACATAAACTTTAATAAGAGAAAAAAAAAACGTTAAAAGAGCATCTCTGGGCTTTCGTTTTCTTTGGAAAAAACTGTGTAGAGCTGAACCTCAGCCACCCGACAAAGCCCCAGATATTCCAACATGCTGTCGAATTTGGGCTGTAATAAGCCAATTGGGCTATGGCTGCGCTTAGTCACCTTACCTACGCCTAGGAAAAACCTCGGGCTTGTTCAAGCGTTTGCATTACTTTTTTTTTTTTTTTTTTTTTTTTTTTTTTTTGGCGTTAACCATATATTCGAGTCGATTAAATGCACCGATCCACAAATAAATGAGCTATATCAGTTTTAACGTACAAGTATTTTTCTTCCGTATGTTTACCGTAATTACATGAAAAATATCAAAATGTATTCATATTGCATTAAAATTAATTAAACACAAAAGTAAATACTTACATTCAAAATTTCTTGAATGCTTTGTATTATCGTTTGTTGTCAACGATTACAAACAAATATAAAATTATGTATACTGATTGCCATCTCTATCCTTGACGAGCTAAAAATTCTCCCAAACCTCAAAAATGAGACTTGTTTTGCTGCGACTATCTTGAAGACTAATTGACCATCGCTTGATGAATCAACCATTTATCGTATACAAGATGATTTAGGAGAATATATAATATATCATGTTTGAAACAATTGGAAATATAGTTAAAGAGATTTTTGCGATGACACGTGGAATTAAACCCAATTGTTTCATAAAAATATTATAACTGAATAGCCCACCTGATATGAATAAGCCTTAGGATATTTTCTTTTCGAATAATTTAGTTTGGTTAACCGAACGATATTCACTTTGGGATTGATTAATTTTTCTCTTATTCAGTTAACATAAACCGAATAAAACATCTGATAAATATTTGTCTAAATTTTATTTTTATAGATAATTATTTCAAGACCCAAACTTGTCTTTAATTTTGGTTTGATTTATCTTTTGGATTACATTAAAAAAGTCCAACATGAAATCTACAACTAGACAAAGATATATCGGCTCAAAATCCTCCCTAATAAAGAAAGAATTTTTTTGTCACATGTCATTCTCTAATGAGTTTTGACACTTGTCATTTTGTGATAATTTTTAATTTTTAAATAAATAATATCCACATATCAATTTATATCTTACATTTGATACTTTACATGTATAACTATAAGTATTATGTGCTTTTTAATTTTAAAAATTAGAAAAAACCATAAATTGACAGGTGGATATTGTTTATTTAAAAAATATCATAAAATGACAGGTGTCAAAACTTATTAGAGATTGACATGTGGCAAAAACGTTCTTTATTTATTAGGGAGGATAATAAAATCGAAACCGAATACATTGATCAAATAAGACCCTAATTAAAACCCCCATAATTATCTGTTTATCCTAGAAAAATCAATGCCTAAAATAAACAAAATACATCCAAAATATATCAAGATTGATAATTACGATATATTTGAGGTCTTTATTGTTATCGTCGGTTGTGTGGTATAAGATTTATTTTAAACATGCCATTAGTTTGCGGTTTCATTTTCATTAAGTGGTTATTGATATTTTTAGTAGGTTTGGATTTTCCTAAACTGCTTACGGCTGGTGATCATAACAGATGGCGTCCTGTAACAAAGAAATACTTTGAGCCATATACTTATTTGTTTTCATGGATTAAAAGTTAAAACAGCCAAATCTTGTCCATTTCCTATTGAGTGCGCAAAACAAAGAGTGGGGAATCTCAGTTACGGTTTTTATAAAGCCTAAAAAAATACATTAGGCTGGTGGGTGTGGGCTCGGCAACCTTGACGCACACCGGGCCGAGCTCGGCTCGGTTTCTCGGTTAATTTCTGCCGAGTCGTGTTGACCAATGGGAAAGTGGAGTAACTGGCAACGAGTATTTCCATTTAATTTTATTTTCTTAAAAAAAACTCCTATAAATACTACAACCTTAACCATTTTAACTCATCAACATCAACTTACAACTCATATACACTCTCTCAAAATGTCGTCTTTGTCATCTTCATCGGGCATGTTTGATGTCTTGCTTGAAACGACTATAGAGGTTATTTAAGAGACGGAGCAGATGATCGAGCAACTACAAGAAGAAAATGCGGAGAATGCACGCCGGAAGAAGAGAAGATACATACAGAGATTTCGTGAGGCGGCTAATGATCGACTCATGCAAGATTACTTTGTGGATGACGCCAACTTTATAGGATATTATTTTCGTCGCCGGTTCCGTATGCATAAATCTTTGTTTTTGCATATAGTCAACGACGTCACGACAATGTGTCCATTTTTTCAACAATGTCGAGATGCTAGAGGTACAATTGGTTTTACTTCTATACAAAAATGCACCGCTGCACTTCATCAATTATCGTATGTCACTTGCCCCGATGCACTAGAGGAGAACCTTAGGATGTCTGGATGTGTTGCACGAACTAGCCTTCACAAATTTTGCAAGTATGTCATGAGATTATATGGTCCACGATATCTACACAAACCCACTTGTAGTGACATTCAATAATTGTATGCTCGTCACTCAAACGTACATGGCTTTCCTGGAATGTTAGGAAGCCTAGATTGCCTCCACTAGGCATGGGGTTGTTATCCGAATGTCCATAAAGGGCGATACACCCGAGGCGATCATGGTTATCCAACCGTTATACTTGAAGCGGTGGCCTCATAGGATACATGAATATGGCATGCATTCTTTGGTTTAGTTGGCTCCCTTAATGACATCAATGTTCTTAACATGTCTCCGTTACTTGACGACATGTACAACGGGACTACACCCGACTCCTCTTTTCAAGTAGCTGGAACATCGTATAGGAACGGGTATTATCTTGTGGATGGGATCTATCCGGCGCGTGCTTTTTTGTGAAGTCATTGTCTTGTCCAAATGATCGAAAAAGGTTGAAGTTTAAGAGAGCTCAAGAGCGAGCAAGAAAGGATGTTGAACGAGCATTTGGAGCTTTGAAAAAACGTTGGCATATTCTTAAATATCTTGCGCCATATATGGAGGAGAAGAAAATGAGCGAGGTAATGTATACTTGTATCATATTGCATAATATGATTCTCGAAGACGAAGGAAATGTAATATGTGAGTATAATGAAAACGAGATAGTTCCACCGACACAATCTTTTAAGGTTGGAGGCGCGGAGTACATGTCGAGGAGGGCATTAGTTCATGATGTTGAGACGCATCATGTTCTTCGTAGGGACATGAAGGAACATATTTGGAACATCAACCACATCGATCTTAACATAGAACTGGTCGACGATTTGGAAGGCCAATTTTCTGATGAAGATGTTCTTTAGGTCTATCTAGGTTTGATAATTTTAGTTTGTATGTTTTTAATTTTAAATTCTATTTTTTTTTTGTTTGTTGTTCTTTTGAATTTTTATGTTTTTATTTTAAGTTTAATGAATTTTTAGTTTTTAAAAATGTTATGTTTGAAATATTTATTTTGTGTGTGTGTGTGTATATATATATATATATATATATATATATATATATATATATATATATATCTCTATATATATATATATATATATATATAAGGTATCATGGCAAGTGTGACAACTCGCGCCTAGCAAATAGTAAATTTTGGCTAAAGTGTGACAAGTGTGACGTGGTGCCTATGCGTACTGTGGCAAGTGTGACATCACACCCACTAGTCTTAGGGATATTGAGAATATAATCACAATATCCAACGGACCAATTAAATAGACATGACCATTAGACATGTGTTCAAAAATAAATATCATGTGCTCTATTGTACGTAATTGTAAGGAATTAATCATAGATTTCAGGACTAAGGCCTTAATTAAAAACTCAAGCACGAGAAATTTGTTTTAGGGGACATCGAAATCATACAAAATATCTAATTTCATGAAGAGTTAGTCATATTATGGGTTGTGAGTTTTAGTGAATATGAATTTGTGACAATATTGGTCATTTTTTCATAAAACTTGGGCAAACGTGTGCTAATTCACATGCGTTATAATAAACGACCTCTAACATCTCCAAGTCCATAAATTGTTTTGGGAACGGCCAATATCATTAAAACTCACCCAAATAGCAAACAACTAAATGGATGCAAGAACCAAACGAGCATATAGGTTAATTTTTTTTAAAGGATAGGAAGTGAATTCTTCTCGGTTACATGGTATACCTCTACCTCTACATTTCATTAATGTAAAAACCATCACATTGATGTTATCTACTACACCTATAGGGTTCATGAATCTCGCTAGGAATAAATGGTCATTGCATGCTATAACTTCCCAAAAATCATGAATAAATTTTTTTATTTTTAAGTCAACTAAAATCCATTAAATATTCATATCAACCATAAAAAGGTATGCCCATATGAAAATAGTTATCAGAGTACAATCCCAAAATCATAAATATGTTAAGCATGGGTAGATCCGCTGCGATTAGGACAACCCCTTCCCCTTCGAACTGAAAGTACCTAAAACATAAATTTAAACTGTAAGCACAAAGCTTAGAGAGTTTCCCCAAAATACCACATACCATACATACAATGGGCCTTGCCTGACATTGGGCCCCACCCAGTACAAATTTATCTATAACATGCGATGGGCCCCGCCCAACACACTCATCAGGCCTCGCCTGGCATCGGGCCCCACCCAGTATACATATAAACACATAAAATACATGCAAGAGTCACACATACAGTTAGCATTCTAATAACAATAATCAAGGGGCCGCTATTGGTGCCTTCGACCCGCCAAAACACTATGAGAAGACTCACCTCAATCTAATGATAAGAAATCACACGCAAGCTGCTACTATAACGAATCTTCATGCTAAACACATTCAAACCAATCCTAATCATTATTTAGGGTAATAAACCACAACTAAAATCCCAAATCATAATCCCTTTCACAAAGGGTAAAAGACCCTTTTACCTTTCCTAGCCTATGCCCAACAAGTCATGACCCATAATGGCGCAAACCAACCCCAAGGCCCAAAATGGCCCAAACTAACCCCCAAGGCCCAAATAATGACCCAAAGGTCCTTTGGTGAGTACACTAAGTGTACCACCCTGATATGCTTCACGTACAAGCTCTAACAACAAGGGGAAAATGGGGTTGTACACACTACGCTAGGCGTACTCATATTTACGCCCCACGTACTCCCCTGATGGCCAAAAATCACTTTAAGCACTTAATGCCTTAAGTCCAAACGTCCAAA